AGTACTCTCACCACCCCCAAGTCAACCTGAACAAACAATAGTTCATGATTTTTCCATGATTTAACCCATTATACCCAGCTTACATAAGGCATAGGTCAGGCCACTTGAACTTACAGAGCGCGCCCAACTTACCCAGTCCTAAAGTCAGAATATCTAAACTTATAGAGCGTTCTGACTTAGCCAAGTATACACAAACAAAGGGCACTACTACTTTTCTCTTCCTTGGGCATATGACTAGACCACTCTAGTCGCCCTGGACTGTTTAATTAGCCAAGTTATATATACCTCTCTGCACTTAGTCTTCCAAATGGACATAGGGCTGAGCCGCTCATCTTAGAACGTTGCTCAGCCTGCCCAAGTTTACCTTCAGTTATATCTCTTGATTATACTCTCTTCGAATTACGATAAGCTATAGTCAGGCTGTCCAATCTTATGGAACCCGTGCGTGACTAGCCTGTTCGTAGATAAAATAATTATACAGTATAGCCCAATTTATAACCTCTGGGTTCCAACATGTGCAAGGCTTTGAGTCAAATCCCCTGAACTTACAGAAGGGTCTGCCTCTCCACCAGATTCCTTTCTCTCTGAGCCATTGTGTGCGTGGCATTGAGTCAAGCCTCCTGAACTTACAGAAGGGCCTGCCCCTTTGTCAGGTTCATTCCCTCAAAACAAAGGCAGGAAGAGACTGAGCCACCTAAACTTATAGAGCGGCTTTGTCCCCTCGTTCAGAAGCAAAAAAACTCAGGAAAACCTAAAGAAACCAAGGTAACTCAAGGCACCAAAACTTATTGAGCGCCCTGAGTTCCTGAAAGTCACCCACAGTCAAACTCCTCGCCAGTCAGAGTAGTCAGGACACCTAAACTTATAGAGCGTCCTGACCCTCCATGCAATTCACAGCACCGGGTCTCCCCAAACTTATGGGTATATTCCAGCCTCCAGAGCTTTAGGCCACCTAAACTTATAGAGCGGCCTGAGGCTCCATGCAATCCAAAAATAAACAAAGCGCTGGGCTTCCCCAAACTTATGGGGAACTCCCAGCCTCAACGACCCAGTCAGTCTACACATAATACTGCCTTCCTCCCAGCCTTCCCCCAGATGCGACCCCTTTTGTTCACAATCTGCTTTCAGGCAACCAACAAATATGAAACTGACCTTGCACACACATTCCTTTTATTTCAGCTTGACTTATGTCCTGAACGTCAAGCTCAAAACCAAGTACATGATCCACACAATACTCTCCGTCAAGCGTAGAGGGATGTACAGGTAGGGGTTATAGTTGGGTTTATAGAGGGAATCAAGGGATTACCACTCAGTTCCCTGCCGCCAGGACTCCTCCTGAGTCCCGACAGAGCTTCCGCAATCGGTGGGGCAAACCTCCCACAGAGGCCTTGGCACGGATTACGGGTTGCCACCCCGCCTGCCGCCTTCCTCTCAGAACCAACAGACTAGACTTAGAGTAAAAAGGGCAGGAGGAGATGATTTCAGTCTCTCAGATCCAAGAAAGGTGCGCTCGGACTCGCGTGAGAGGGCCTTGTTACCTTCACGCGCCTGAGGGCCCCGCAATGGCGGCCAACTGACAGCTTGGTCAAAGACTGCAGACTGTCAACATAACCCCTTCTGACAAGCCTCCCAACTCACAGCACCACCTCCCGCTTATCCCGACACTTCTCCTCTGCCCACACGCAGCCACTCAACAACTAAAATCAGGCAAACCGCGGCACCAATAGCCCGCAGTGACTAGCAGCAGCAGTTCCTACGCAACGACAGTACCTCGCAACAGCAACCCGCACGCCGCAGCTTGTGCCCCCATCCTCAGACGCAGCAGTCGTGTACCGCGACGGTCACCAGCAACTGCAGCAATCACCCTCAGCAGCAGCGCGCAGTGGTAGCCCGCAATCGACAGCCATATGTAGCAACAGCCCTCTGCGACAGATTACCGCATCGGTTGACTACCGTGTCTCCACCTTGTAACTGACCCGCTGTTGTTCTGTCTAACACCCTCCGACCCTGCCTGCTGTGCACGCGGGAAGCGCAAAGGTCGTCTCTCAATACTGCAAGAAACAGGCGGGACGAGCGGGCCAGCAGTTTGGCAACTGTGAAACAGAGGACATGGCAACAACGATAGGGCTACCAACCTACGGGGCACTCACGTAGCAACCAGGGAAGGCACGGCCCGCAAATGAACAGCCCGTTAATGAATCAGGGAAGCACACGGCGGGACCAAAGACACGGTCACATCCTCAGCCTGCCGACACCACATCCGAAGTTAGCGGGACACAGGTAGCGAGGCAACAGCGAAGTGCGGGCCAAGACATCCGCACTACCTCCCCACACCACGGTCAAACCCGCACACCGTTGGTTTTCCACCACCCACTGAGCCGGGGAGCTACTCCAACAGTCGTCCGTCATCACCTGCAGACCACACAGACATCCCGAATCGAGCGGTCTGCTTCCCCACCTCGATATGCCTGGCTTGTTGTAACTGTCAGGTGAGTACCTCTTCCCCCTTCACTCTGCGCCCTTCCTACCTCTAGCATCCAGGCATTCGCATCGCTCCTCCCGAAAGTCCAGCCAGGTAAGTTCGTTTGTTCGACTGTACCACATGATCCCCCCCCTTTCCGCTTTTCGCAGCCTTCTCCTCGCGCAGCCCCACGTATCAACCCAGTCGGAACTAACACCCCGTTACAAATTCTGACATGGCCATTCGAATCGCAATCCTCTAAAACTCCTACTTGAGTTTTCCGTTCGTCCGTTCTCGTCAAGAAGCGATCGAAGTCGACACTTCTTCCTCCCATTCCCTTCCACTTTGGCCATAGCCCGGCGTACCACTTGTCCCATTTACCTCCTAATCCACTAACCTTCCTTCAAAACTAACTTCATAGTTAGCTTCGCCCTATGTCAAAACCTCCGGGGCGGATCTTTACTCGCCCGTTTTCGTTAAGAAACGGGCGAGCTACATGACTTTTACTCCTACCGCAGTTACCTCCGCCATCTAATCGCGCAACTTGTTTCTCACTAACCCGCCATTCTACTGATCTATCATCAAAACTAACCACGCTACTGCACTCGCCCGGGGTCAAAACCCCAGGATCGACCTTCTTCCCCCTCAAAACCGCCCCCTACCAACCATATTCCATGTTTCTCCCATGTGCGCGCACCTGGCCCGATTCATCGGCCAGGTTCACGCGCTTCCCTCTGCCTGCCTCCGCCCGTTACTGCACATTGCCGTCTGCGTCGCTCCTCCCCATACCTGTCACCCGCTACTACGTAGCGTTGCCATAGCCCTTTCCTCGAGTGAATCCGGCGCAGAAACGCGCCCGGATTCATTCCCCTTTTTTTTTTTTTTTACTTCTTCATAACTCCACGCTCTTACCTTTTCTACCATCTCTAATTTACTAATTCTCATCTGAAACTAACGTCGCCATTCAAGTCGCCCGCGTTGAAAACCCCGATTTCGACTTTTGGTTCACCCGATTCCGTCAAGGATCGGGTGCGAACTTCGCCTCCCGCTCCGCGATACGAATGTCTGACTGCGCCATGGCTTCCTTCGTCTTCGCCCCCACATGTACCTGGTGCAAACTGTGTCCGGGTTCGCTTCTATTCCCCCTGCGCTCGTCGGCTGGCAGCACCGCCTAGCCTTTCGCCGTGGCATCCTGCCGCCCCCGCTGTGCCGCCTCACTGCGCTGCCCCGCTGCCCTTCCGGTGCTCCGCTGTGCCAGATGCCCTATCCCTCTTAATGCAACCGGCGCGCCCCACCGTCCAGGTGCATCTCCCCCTTCACGCCCGTTCTTCCTCCATTGCTAACGCAGCCCCCGGCGGTAACGGATCCGCGGCTCTTGATTCCAGTCGGTAGCAAAAATGGGGGAAGCAAAACAGCACTCCCGGCTCTCCTCTCTTTTATACGTATCGCCCCTGCCCGGGGCCGCGCCGATCTTCTCCGTATTGTTCCAATTGTTACGGATGTCCCGAAGGACTCCAACCGGGGCAGTGCCCCGCCGTACCGCCAAAGGCCAAACAGCTTCCGCTGTTTTCTTTGGCCCGTATCCGACTTTGGCCCGCGTCCGGGTTCATCCCCAGATCTGTGCCCGCCACCCCTGTGCAGTGGCCAACATATCTTCTCAATATCGTTCCAGCCTTAACGGATATCCCGGAGGATTCAGGCCCCCCCCCGGCCGGCTCTACCCCTTCAAGGCCCCAGCAGGCATGCTTACCCCCACGGCCTTAACAACAGATCCCGGGATCAAGGCGCGGTTGTGCGGTCCTGCCCTGGGCATAGCCCCCCTACCTTTCGGGTTTTAACAATCATGCTCACTCCGGCACCTCGCAAATACAACACACCCCCACGCGATCCTACCGCAGTCCCGTGCCCCAAAGCGGGATGCGATAACAGAAGGGGCCCAGAACCATAAACAAATGGGAAATAAAATAAAATAGAACTAGACGTCGGGGAACCGCGGGCTGCTGACACCTTGCCAGCCTCGCGGATTGGGCCCGCCGCCGCACCCATAAGCAAAACCAAGGGGGATAGCCCCACAGGGCCCTCAACCCCTCAAGCTTCCACTCCCCGCTACTCTGCTGCCGCCGCGCCGACGCCCGCTAGCCTCGAGCCCCGAACCTCCATAGTAACAGTCCGCTGTCGTAACCTATAGGGCTATGCCCAAGCCTGAGACCAGCGCCCGCAGAACATCATACAAGGAAGTGCGGCGCGGCGCTTTGGGCCAACAAACCGGCTGCGCGGCTCCCAACGCCCGCGCCGGCTTGTTTAAACCGCACCATAATTGCCCCGTGCGCCATCCTACGACGCCCCGCTCACCACACAAAGTCGCATCGTCATTGTCGATGCCGTCCTCGAGGTCGTCCTCCGTACGCGCGCGTCTCTCGGTCAAACGTATCAATCAAATATAAATAAATAATAATAATATTATTAAACAAAAACGACCGATGTCCGGCTGCCTCTCATGATCAACAACAGAAAAGAATCACGCGCACCTTAAACCTGCGCGCCCACGCACCCTTTACTCTAGTCAACCATCCAGTCAACGTAATTTACGAACAAGGCCGCGCCTAGCATGGTATGCTTAACTTTAGACCAAAATTATTTTCTGTCACTTGCAAAAACCAGGGCAGATACCCTTGTAAGGGTATTCGCGCCGACATCGCCCTCTACAACAGCTATTGCTTTGGCGCCCTCAATGGCGCCCTCACAGAACTTCCCTACGTTGTCCCTCAATTGCTCGACTTCGCCCCCAATGTGGGTGACGATCTCGCGCGCAAAGTCTCTGAACCCCGACCCCATGGCACTCAGGGCTACCTCCTCGCTCCAACTAGCTTGGCGCTTCTCCATCCATGCGGTGCTCAGCACCTCTAGGTAGCCCAACAGTTTATCCCACTTGGCCTTGTCATTTGGCCGGGCCAACACTTCCTTCCTGCACTCCTGCACCTTTGCCACCTCTACGGTCAGCTTGTTCACTTCCTCTCTCATCCTCTTCTTCTCCCTCTTCATCCTCAACGTCCATGCTAACTTCTGCTCCTCCTCCCTTTCTCGCAATTCCATCGGATCTTCCATTGCTGCTAGCTCATTGGCCAGCGCTTCCCTCTCATCCTGAGTCATATAGGACTCTGCCTCCTCATCTTCTCCCAACGATAAATTAGCAACCCACTCACTTATTTTCCTCTCCATCTCTGCGTCTGTGTCCCTCTTTCGTGCCACTACTTCCCTCTCTACTCTCAATACGCATTCTCTCTTTTTCTTCTTCTGCTGCCGCTTCTTCTTCAGCAGCCTTCTTCTTTTTCTCCATCTCCTCTTCCAATTCCTTCATCTTGAAGGTATGTTCCTCTGCGATAGCCTTTAACTTCGCCTGCTTCTCGAGCTCTTTCCTCTCCTTGTTCTCTTTCACTAAGGCGACCATCTTTTCTTGCTGCTCCTTGGTGTAGGGGCTAGTGTTTATCCCACTACGGGTCTCAACCATGGTGACAGGTGCACAATCAGAACGATTCCACTCCTCACCACGTAGACTCTAACCCTTGACTGACAGACCTATTGACTCAATCTAAGGACTTACAGAATCCTGACAAGGATCCTGCCAACTATGGTCTCTAGCCTAGACCTAACTATGGTCGTCACTACTCATCAAGACTTAAGGAGATCCCCCGAACTCCTCAGGAATTATTTAACGTCGCAGACCGGACGACGCGATCAGCAGGTCTCTCAAGACTTAGACGGTCTGTTGTACAGCTCACAGCTCGGATTTTGAGGCCTACCGTGCCACACCGAGCGGCCCGCCGGTCAGTACCGGTCCTTGGGAGGGTTTGACCTCCGGGACAATTGTGTCGTCAGACACAACTTTTAGCCCTACTCATCCCGTGTGGGTTTGGTCAACAAGACCCTATCCTTCATCCACAGAGTACTATCACTTAGGACAGAAGAGACTCGATGCAGAAAGAATAGACAAACAGACTGGACTGGACTCAACAAGTACCAAGGGGTGTGTGCACATCCATAGGGCAAGGGATAGGCTGAAGGTTTGGCGAGATGTTACCGGCTCCAGCTTGGTCAAAGTCTTGGTCAACGCCGGTCAACGCTGCTATCAGCCCCCGGTCAACCCCCGGTCAACTCCGGTAACTGCCGGTCAACACCTCCGGTCAACCCTCTCGGTCAACCCTCCGGTCAGCTATGACTGCCGGCTCCTCGCCAACCCTCTTCTTCCCTTCACCTTCCTCGCTTCCTTTCACCCGGCTGTCTTCTTTTTTTTTTTTTTTTTTTCTTTGATCGGCCCTCTCTTCACCTCGCGGCTATGGCCCCCTTCTCTCCCTTCTTGGTCTCTCCCCCTCTGTCCGGTCTCTCTCCCTCCTTTACTACTCCGTGGTGATGCTCCGCGGCTATGGCCGCTTCTCCCTCCTCCACATGGGACTGCACAGCTCGCCTCACAGGTATGTGACAACCAAACTTGTATTGCTCATCTCTCTCTCTCTCTCTCTCTCTCTCTCTCTCTCTC